GCAGAGGCCACGGCAGCCCCGGCCCCGCCCGCACCACCCTCTGCCCCCACACCCTCACCCCAGCATCCCGCCAGCCCACGGCCCGGGCCCGCCCTGCCCGATCCCGCCCCTCTCTCCCGCACTGACCCCTGCCCTCGCCTGCCTGCCCTCGCCCCTGCCTGCCCTCGCCTGCCTGCACCCGGCTGAAGCCCCTGCGCTGCCCCTCCCTGCGCCCCGCCAGGCCCCTGCTCTCCCTGCCCAGCCCAGCCCTGGCTCCGTTCCCCCTCCTGCCCCTTCGGGGGGATCCCGCTGCCCCAGGCCACTACGGGGAGCCCCGCTTCCCCCTCCGCACCCTGCCCTGCCTGGGGGGACACCACGGCTCACCCACGCGTCCCCCTCAACCACGCCACAACTCGGGGCCGACTGCCTCCGCTCACGCAGCTGCCGAAACCCGCCGAGCGCCTCGCGGGCGCGCGGGGAGACCCTAGCTCTCACGCTCTGCCCCGGGGCGTCAGCCGGACCCAGCCACCTGGGAGGAAGGCTGCCTCCCGCACTGCCTCCGTGCAAGCCGGGGAGAACTCGGGTTAGAGCAACACATCACCGCACCGAGGGTCACGATTCCGGTCCAGGTTACTCAGCCCAGGGCAGGGGGAGATGCCCACCAGATGCAAGACGGACCTCACCCGCGTCCTGAGGCTGAGCGGGTAAATAGGGCTCTTCCCTACGCGGGCGGTCGCCGGGAACAGCCGGAGCTCGAGCTCGCTACGCTCCGGAGCCCGAGACACAACCCCAGCCAACAGCCAGACCTCCTAACGCCGGCGCTACGCGGCGGTGCGTGGCACTCGCCGACGGCAGCTCTACATGCGGTGCATTCCCCCGCTGGGCTGCGAGAGACGGCAGCCCAGCAGACCTAGGAGGGAAGCTTCGTCTTCCCTGGGACTAACGCTCAGAGCTCCCTCCCTGGATGTCCCACCTCCAGCCCGTGGTCTCGGGAATGCACCGCGCTGATCTCGATGGTATGCAGCTCCTCCAGGGTCAGCTGCCTGGCGTAGAAGTGTGCCACCACGCGATGTGGCCCCTCTGTCAGGTGCGAGCACAGATAGTCAGCTTCCGTCAGGCGCACACAGCCCAAACCCAAGCCCAGCACCCGATTCAGACCGTCCTCCAGGGACCAGTAACGGCGATCCACGAACCCCCCGGGAAAGCCCAGCAGTCCGTCAAATCGCATCTGCATCTGCAATAGAGGCGGATGGTGTTAATGGGGCACGGCGGAGCCCCCGGCGGGGGGCGAGGGGAGGCGCGGGCGCCCCAGCCCGGCGCCGCGGAGGCCGGCGGGGAGGCGGAGGAGCGCGGGGAGGC